TTGCGAGAATAACAGTCGACCAGGCTAGTTGCCGGGAGGAGAGAGTCGCAATTAGTGGCTGTGGCGCCATTGGAGGAAACTGGCCGGTGACCGAGGGGCACTAATTTCTGGGGGGCACAATCTGTAATGCTGATGATGGGGATGCAGGCTGCACCTTGCAGCACATCGTCGCGCCTAGCCCGTCGCAGGCAGTATCCGAAGCATGCCTGTGGCAGCCCAGGATGCGTAGCGGATTGAGGCTGCTTGGTGCTTGGAGGCTCCAGACGGCCATGGTAAGCCCAGAGCTAGTAAGGGAGCGACCCGACCAGAGGCGGCGTGCCGGCGGAGAGGTCATACGATCTGGCCGGCGAGGCGGGCGCTGGTCGCGTAGAGAGGCGAGGGGCAGAGGCTGCTGGAGGCGGCGTGCACCTGTCGCGCCGTGGTGGTCGGCGGTGGCATCCCATCGACGGCTGTCACTTGTCACGCTGACTCGGCTCGACGCGACTGGACGGCCACTGGGAGGGCGGCGACGGCGTGCAGGGCGGCGGAGGCTGCAGGTCACCCGTCCATCGAGGGCTCTGTCCGGCCATGATGCGGTCGCAGAGGGAATCCGGTACTCGGCCAGCAGGGGGCTCTGCACGACACAGGCGCGCACTCGGTCGGGCGAATCACCACGGGCAGCGGCGAGGGCGGTCGCGATGGGGGTGGGACATGTTGCGCGTGGAGCGTGGAGCGGGTCGCAGGTGCGCCTGGACGTGTGTCAGGAGTGTTTCGTCCATGTCGCGCCGCGGCAAAAGACGTGGGGCGACATGGATGGCGCTGCTGACTCAGCGGCGCGCTGCCCGCCTGCCACTGCGACTGCGCGCCACAGGCGGCCGTGTGAAGCTCAACCCCAACCACAGCCGCCCCTTCGGGCTGCCCGCGCGCCCGAAGCAGCATAGAGGCGTCCGGATGCGATGAAACGGCCTGCTCGTCGCCCGTCGCCGTGTTGATACACGGCCAGGTTGCACAATTGTTCCCACACGGCCTCGCTCAGTCGACGCCCTACACCATCTCGGCCCAGCGCTGAAACTGCGCTGCTCGGCCTCTCGCCGTCGCCCGCCCACCCAGCTAGCCTGTGGACTGGCTGCAATGGACGGCACTGGACTGCACTGCACAGCTGGCCGAGGGGCAGCGCGGGCTGGCGGCGCGAGGCAGCGCTCCATGCATGCCTCCCTCCCTCCCTCCCTCCCTCCACCCATCCACCCATCCACCCATCCATCCATGTCGACATGGACATGGGGGCGCCCGCTGCCACGCCCACGCCCACTGCCCTCAGCCGAGCACGCAGCCTCTCCGATTGAGCCGGCAGGATCATGGCGACAATGACTGGTGCGACCGTTCCGAGTGCGTCTAATCGCCGTTTGGAATCCCAGCAGCCTTGCGCGCGGTCCTCTGCCCACTACACCCTCCCCCCCCCCGCCAGACGCTCTTTTGGGTGAACGCTTCTGCTGAGTTCGTTCCAGATCACCTGCAGCCAAGGCGCGTCGCGACACTGCTCTCAAACCTGAGCCGAAGCGGTTCCGTTGCGTCAATCGCACACATCGTTGCTCTTTGTTGTTCCTCTCGGATGTTGCAAGCCCGCCCGTGTACGCATCATATAGTCTAACAGCCCCTCCAACCATCGTTCCTTCTATTTGGCCCTTCACTCTTTAGGACCCTACCCCCATCTATCTTTGTATACATTTCCTTCTTTTGGAGCGGGCTCCATCCGCGCTGGCTGCGTTGGGAACGTTTGTTCTCGTACACTCATTTGAACGACTCGCCTCGACGCTTCGTCACCCATAGTCTCTCACCACTCCTCTCTCGACGCACTCCTTTAACTACCCACCCCCAACTTTCGCTACCAATGTAAGCCCTGCGCATCCGGCACTCGCCCCCGTACACCCTGCAATCAATCACTCACTCACTTACCGCTTTGCCTATCCAGCTTCCCTATCCCCGCCTATCACGCCAAGGTTGCTGTATATAGCCGACACAACTAGACATGGACTTCAATACAGTTCAACAGTGCGTTCTTTCCAACCATGCCGGCCTGCCGCCGCATTGCTGGGCACACTGACCGGCCATGCAGATACCGCCAACCGCCCGGTAGACAATACCCCATGGGCCACAACTCCCCTGTCCCAGGAACACAACCAATGTATTCTTACACTGGTCTTCCCACACAGGGACAGGCACAACCACAGCCTCAAGGCCTAATGCAAATGTCTCGACCCTCGCCACCACACAACACATGGGCCATGCCACAGGCTCACGCTCCCTACTATGCTGCCCCACGAGACAACCGAGAGGGCCTGGCACAAGCAGGTCTAAGCACATCGCAGCCGTCTGTCACAAGCAGCGACATGTACAGCAACAGCATGGCGGCTCCTACGTCGCTTGCAACCACCGACTTCTTCCCAGGCGTCATCGACACAAGTAAGGTTTCTGCTGAGAGCAACCATGGCTAAAGTGCTAACCATCACAGGTCCTTGGGGTCAGAAGGTGTGCGAAGAGCTCGAGTCGTTTCCATCATTGGACCCAGAAGTTGCCGACTTCAGCCATGGCATCATGGGCCATGACGAGAACACCCCCATCATTGATCTGCGCCAGTACAACGGCATGGTGCAGCAGGAACACGACAGCATGGCCAACATGAACCCCCACACGGCTCGGCGACTGTCAGAGTCATCCTTCTCCATGTCAAGTACCGGCGGTGTCCTTCCAGACTCGGCAGCTTACGAGGAGATGGGAACTTCCGAGCCTGTTTCATATGCGTCCGAGTATGACACGTGGGGTCGTCCGGAGCCTGGCACAAGTCATCTTCTTTCTCCACTGGCGTCGCCATGTCGACCTCAATATGACGGCGTTGTCCGAGGCGGCAGTCGCTCACGGGCCTCACCCACGCCGCACAACAATGTCCGGTCCTCGCCCTACACGCTCGACAATAGCAGTCGTTTCAAGAGGTGGTCTACTGGGCACGCGCCAACGTCAACACCTACCAACTCGCGCCCCGTGTCGCAAGTCCCGACTCACTACACACCTTACGGCCCGAGGCTAAACCCCCATCATTCCATGCCGGCCTATCCTCCCAGTGCATACAATTATGGAGTGGCGGCACAAAATGTCCTGTATTCGCAAACAACGTCTCCACACCCCAATAACCCGCAATTCTTCCCGACACAAGATCAATCACCCTATCATCTAGAGGTGCCTCGACCACTACCCTCGCAAGGCCTCTTCCGTCTGCTTCAGAGCAATGCCGACCGTCATGGCGGCTGTTCATCTCACTTTGCCGACCTCTCAGACCCACCGGATTTGTACTCTTCACTACATGAGGAAGCCTCAAACCCGCCAGAGTCTGATATGAACCCCTCGGATCCCGATCTAGTCCCACATGAGCAGGATCTTAGATTTGTCGGCGATTTGTACACGCCACGTTGGGTACGCGGCCATGGCAACAAACGCGAAGGCTGGTGCGGACTCTGCAAACCTGGACGATGGCTTGTCCTGAAGAACAGTGCATTTTGGTACGACAAGTCCTTTACACACGGAGTCAGCGCAGCTACCGGCGCAGCATTCCAGGGCCCACAGGACACTCGCCGCACAGAAGGCAATCTTGATGTCTGGGAGGGACTCTGTGGAAGCTGCGGTGAGTGGATAGCACTCGTAAGCAACAAGAAGAAGGGAACAACTTGGTTCCGGCATGCGTACAAGGTGAGTCCATGCTCGTTCATCTTCCTTGACCCACACTTTCCATCAATCCACTCGCACATGTCCGCTATACGCCAAGCTTGATGGTTCTAACAAGAAGCGCAGTGTCATACACACCCAAAAGTCAAGGATGGTCCTAAGCGCCGGCGCGAAACACAAGCTGGGCGCGTGCGTGCCGCTTCATCCGCTTCGACAGCGTCTTCGCCGTACCCAATGAAGCATGAGTCCCTGCCAGGCGACCTAACTTCGCATCGGCATTCCACTCCCACGCCGATACCCGGCAGCTCTTCTTTGCAGTCTTATGGAATGCCGAGCGGGTCATCCCGACCTTTGCCAACCTCTACGCCCACATCTACTCCACAGCCCTGCAATGCAACTCATGCAGGCAACACGGCATACCCTACGCCTTCGTCAGCAACGCCTACGATGCAGTCTCTTCGAACGCCTACCGGAAGTTCCTCACATGATCATTTAGAGCACACTCCCAGGCAAGAGCAAGTCGTCGGCATGTTCACAACCCCACTACAAAGCCTACCAAGTTTCCCCAGTCATCAGTACTCGCCCAGCCTCTCACACCAGGTGAGCGAGCCGGAACTTGTCGGTATACGAACAACGACGGTGGCCTTGAATTCAATAGCGAGTATGATATGAGGCCGTGGTACGTATGTCACTGGAATTGCACTTTTACGTTTCATCGCGCACAGTATTTCCCTTGCATCGCTTCACCCCTCCCGTTTCCAGCAGTAATGTCGTGTCTTTTTGGTAGCAAGCATTGTAGCGCATTTTCACCACGTCATTTCTGAGCGTACTTGTTTTATAGTGTTACTTCGGTTTAATCCGCCGAGTTGGAGAGCGGCAGTCACGAAGTCATGACTTCCAGCATTCAGTAGATCGGTTTTGGTTGGTTCTTTTCGACATGTACAGCTACGCTCTGTAGCACGTAGGTAGATTCCCCTAGTTTATCGTATAGACTTGCTTCTGTGAATCGCATGCGTTTAGTAATCGTTCGACCCCGCCTTCTATCGTTCTTTGTCAGCTATGCTTATTATTGTTCTTGTTTGCTGGAAGCTTGTACAGAAAGTTAATACCATCGGCATATAGTAGCACGCCCAGCTGACCGGCAATGAAAGCGGATAGACCCGAGCACTGTGTCAACGTCCCTTCCCCCCCCCCCTCGGCCCCCCTCAAACCCATTTTTTTTCTACCTGTCTGCCCTAGCCAGCCGGTTGAAAAGCATGACGCGACTCGGAAGAAGCGGTCTTACTTCAACCTTGGCGATGTCAAAACGCCTTCCCTCGCGTTACACAGCCTCACGTTTCGGGACGAGGGATCTGAGACCAGACACTAACAGACGACTGAAACGCGACGTGCGCGAGCACAGATATAATACCCGGTAGTTTGGCTGGGCAAAAAAGCGGGGGGGTTACGTGTAAGAGATGGATGATGGGCCAGTAGATGCGTCGTGCACGTGGGGTGGGATGATGCCTCGGTGACAATTTCTGGAGGGTTTGGAATAGGTGGGGGGCTGGAGCCTGCGTGGGGGGTGAGAAGGGGAGGGGGCAGTGTTCCTTTTTTTTCCTTCCTTCTCTTCCTTTCTTTCCCCTTCCTCTCTAGAGACAAGTCATGATACATGTACGTGGACAACGGACTTTGAGACGCGCTTACTCTACGTGTAACTTTGTAGATTGGGTGTACACGGGGAGCCTGGGCCGCTTGATTGAGCGGTTTTGCAAAATGTAGTCGCCCAGCCTGCTCGATCGCGCGTTCAGCTTCACCTACTCCCTCTGTGACAGCCTGTCCATAGCCAACCTACCGATCGTGAGGGGAGAGGGGAAAAAAAGAGGGAACCTGCGACAGGCTTTTGAAGCAAAGTGGCTGTTGTGGAATCAGCTAACAAGTAGCTTGTGTACGACGCCACCAAGACCATGTTTTGTCTGGTGTGAAGGTGGAGCCAAGGAATGGTTCGGGTAGCTCCCGCACATGATCGGCAGCCCGCCATGTGTATATCGTGTTTCTGTTAAGAAGGAACAGAGTTTGGAGATAAGGATACAAGAGCATTGTTCCGAGTCGAGGGCTTAGTGTCTGCATGCAAAAGGCAGCCGTCACTGTGCATGGATCACGTTTTGTTTTGTTTGCCAAAGAGGTACAATTTTAGAGTACTGCTTTCATGCTGAGCACCCGCAGCCTGGCTTGCCGAGGTGCTTGAATTCACGGTATGCCCCAGCGACTATGTTGTCGATTGGTTCGGGCAAAAGTCCCAGCTTGTCATTCGCGCTGTGCGTGCGGAAAGGCGCAGAGGCATCCAGATGCTCATCGTAAAATACACTGCGCTCGAGTAGGGCAATGCCGGAAATCGGGATATCCTCTTTGGATCCGCTTGCGGCCTTCCTCGATGCACTCTTCCACATGATAGTTTCCTACGGTGAAGTCTTTACCAGTTGCCTTTTCAACAGCCTTCACAACCTCGTTAGCTGATGTTACTGCGCCGGCGGCATAGATGTATTGATTCTTGATGCCTTCCCAGTGAGTCAGTACGCAGGCTACGACCTGGCCCACACGTGCTAGGCTGGATGCTGCAAACTGCTCTGTGCCGGTGCCGTGGACCGTGGCGCTATGCCACTGCAGATCCAAGCCCATGTCGCCACTGATGAGCTTGGTATCAAGTGTATAGCCTGTTGTAATCGCAGCCCATTCAAAGGATGGGTCTGCTTGTGATATCTTCTCAAGATAATGAATGACCCTGGCCCGTTCAGCATGCTTGGGGAGGCGGGTTTGCAGCAGCTTGTTTAGACTGTCATGACTGAACTCATCAGGGATAAAGCGCCGGACACCCACGGCTCTCAGGGCATCGACTACTCGGATCTGCAGCTCCGAGTCTCCACCCGCAACTGTGCTGAGGATGATGTCTTGGCCGGCGAATGCCGACTGCAGGGCAGCCCGTGTGAAGTCTGAAGTCACGTGCCGCACATGGGCTGTAGACACATGAGGCGGCAGATTGGTTGTACGAGAGGGGTATGTTAGCACGGAGAGATTGTAATTACAGGCGTCGAACGGTGGCTGGAGCGTGAGGAGGGCGTTGATTACAGCGCGGCAGACAGGCCCGTTCTACGAGCAAGTCAGCCTGTCGAGGTGAAGACGCAGCTGCGCAGTCTGTCTTACACCGACTATCAAGACGTTTGTAGTGGCCATGTCGGCGGCGCGCGCAGTGAGCAAGGAGGTCAAGTTTGGAGCGAGGGAAGGGAGCATGGCCTTGGCCGTGGGAAGCGATGTTGCCAAGCCCCGGCGCACGGACGCGGCATGTTCCGGGGCGGCAGCTGTGCGAGCTTTTGCGGACCAGCAGGAGCAACACCACCACCACGAAACCTCGCCCGCCCGCAACGCCATCATCGCTCATCTCGCCGGGGCCCCGAAGACTTGATCCAGTGCGTCAATTGCCCCTCGGCCAGCTCCAGGCGGCCCATTGGAACCCCGCAGCCGCGCGCTGACCCGCACCAGTCCAGATAGCCCATCATGAATGCCCGCTTCCTCCGCCCCTTCGCGAGGGCTGCTTTCCGCGCCCCGACGGCCGTCCGCCCTGCCGCCCTGGCCCGTCCTGCCCTCGCCGCGAGCCAGAACAAGAAGAGCGAAGTCAGCCCACAGCAGATGGTGAGACTGGCCCCCCCACGGCGCTGCATGCGGGATACTAATGCACCTATGCCAGACGGTCCTCAAGTCTGCCATGCCCCAGCTCATTCCCTTCTTCTTCGTCAACGAGACGACGGTGGCCTTTGTCCTCCTGCCATCGCTCATCTACATCTTCTCCAAGTACATCCTGCCCCAGCGCGTGCGCCTGTTCGCCGCCCGCCTCTTCATCAGCAAGTTGTAAGCCACCGAGGCTGAAACCAAGGGGCCGCGTGACGGACAGAGAGAGGGACAGAGAGAGAGAGAGTGTGTGTGTATGTGTGTCAAGGATGACTGTGTACCAATAGTGGGAATGTGCTCGTAGACAATTCAATGGCATTGCACGAAGAGAGACGGCACCCCTCTCTCGCGTACTCATACATGCATCGACTAGACCTTTTGAGCAGAGAAAGCATGCGTAACGAAATGCGGCTCTTGGGACAGCAGCAAAGCGCATGGCAAACGTGATTGTCGAGTGCGTGACGAGTCAGTCCATGGCGAGACGAGGCGTGTGCGTGAGGCAATATGCAAGAATGGCAGCCTCTAAGTAGGTGGTCCGAAGGGCGAGGCCATTTCCCAGGCTCGAGCAGCGCATAATGTGAAGCCATTGGGCGCATTGATGCCAGCAGAGGGTTGGCGTGGTATGTATTATCGATAACGACGGCACACCTTCTGTTTTGGGAAGCAGATCCTATGGATGGCATCACGTGACCGCTCCACGCCGTCATACCACATACTACATACATACCACCAGTGCCAGGGCCCCGGGGCCGCAATCGCCATCGCCTTCGCCTTTAGCCGGGGCTCGCCGTCTTACCTACATGTACATGCGTTTCTTGAGCCCCATAGCGAAGATGGCCCAACCTCTACCTACGCGCAGCATATGAGGCGCATGTCAAGCCGGCGTGGGTGAGCCTCGTGACAATGCCTCCGTGTGCACTCCAGCTTGGCGCCTGATAGTATGGCCGACAACCAAGCATACGAGCTCTCCGAAGCTCACGCTTCCCAAACCCCTGCCAGCGCCATGCCCACCGACAGACTCCAAGACGTGCACGCTGTCGATCAGAGGGTGCACACCAGAACGCTTTTGAAGCTCGACTGTCTGCTGCTCCCCTTTCTGGCCCTTTTGTTCCTGTTCAATGCCCTTGACAAGTCCAACGTACGCTCTGCGACCCCGTCATGGACAACAACAACAACAACAACAACACACGCTGACATGGGATAGATTGGAAATGCAGAGTCGGCGCACTTTACAGAAGACGTTGGCATCGGCAAGGACGCGCTCAACACCGCCGTAGCCCTCTTCTTTGCCTTCTTCGTCGGCCTACAGCCACTCGGTGCCGCCTTGGGAAGGAGATATGGCATGGTAGGCTGGGTGCCTACCTGTATGCTGCTGTGGGGAGTGTGTACCGCTCTTGACGCGTGGGTGCGGCACGCGTGGCAGCTGTACACGCTGCGCATCCTCATCGGCTGTCTCGAAGGTACGTGGGCGCATTTCCCGCTGCGCCCCGCGACCACGTCAAGCTAACGCTGCACATAGCCGGCTTCTATCCCGTCACCGTCACCTATCTGTCGCTCTTCTACACGCGCTTCGAGTTCGGGCGACGGCTATCCTTTTTCTATGGCCAGGCAGCCGTGGGCGGCGCCCTCGGAGGTCTGATTAGCTACCTCGTATTCTCGCACTTCCAAGCCGACCGCCCAGACACAAAAACAGCGTGGAGGCCATGGCAGGTGCTTTTCCTCTTGGAAGGCTGCATCACGGTTGCCGTCGCTTTTGCCGGCTACTTTTGGCTACCGCATAACGCAGAGACGGCCTGGTTCCTTGCACCCAAGGAGCGCCAGTACGCCTCTACGCGCGTTGTTCAGGACAGAGACAGGCAAAACACGCCAGACGAAACTCAGAAAGATGACCAGAATCCCGAGGGCGCGTACGACGACGAATCCCGCGGCCTCTTGCAGCCATCGACGCGCCCGAGTGTGGCGGGTGTCACAGCATCACAGCTTATCGACGACCGTGGGCTTACGCCTCAAGATGTATTATCTGCCGTCTTCAACACTAAAATCTGGCACATCCTAATATGCAACATTCTCTCCGCCGTGCCCGTCTATGCCTTTTCTGTTTTCCTTCCTCTTGTCCTAGCACCCCTGACAAAAGACGCAAATCCCGCACTGGTCAATCTGCTCACTACGCCGCCTCATCTTTGCGGAGCCATCACCCTGTACGTGTTTGCTACCTACAGTGACAAGCATCGTATACGGCTCAAGCCCATCCTCATCGGCCTTTTCATCATGGTTGTCGGACTGGTCATTGTGGTCCTGTTACCCGCGTCGTGGGCAATACCTCGCTATCTTGCGCTCAACGTTCTTCTTTCGGGTACTTATGTAGCGTCTCCGCTCACTGTAGCCTGGATATCTGGCAACACACCTTCACCCGGCAAGCGCGCCCTGCTTCTTGGTATCAATGGGTGGGGAAACCTGGCGGGCGTCATATCAGCTGCCCTCTTTAAACCAAAGTACGCTGAAGATGGCTACATTATACCGTTCTGGTGGACGCTGCTGTGTGTGATATGCTCCGTCATAGGATACCTGCTGTTCTTCCGACGATTGAAAATGGAAAATGAGATGCGCGCCAAGATGCTGCTGAATTGGAGCGAAGATGACATTGAAGCAGAGAGGCTCGAAGGCAAAGGGCCACTGCCGCCGCAGTACCCGTGGCTCAAAAGAGCTATCACTGCAACAAAATGGGCCAGCCAACTAGATTGGCTGACTGCTTGGCTCGAGGAAGCTGCAGGATCTGGCAGACAGGGAGATGATAGAATTACCTTTGTGTATGGTTTATGAGACGCATAGAAATGGCTCTTATCCTAGGCTTCTCCTCTGTCTGCCCGGTACTGTTTGGGTTGTTTGATGATATCCATGGATATTTTTATGACTGTTTTTTACAAGGCAGGACGCAAACCTGCAATTTGCTCTTTTCGTCCAACAACTGGCATGGACTGAGATTCCACCACAGTGGTGGGACCATGAGAGACGGCTAGAAACAGCATATCCAGACCTGCTCTAGCATTTATCGCCTGCTCATTCTTTACATCCTATTTGCTCCGCCCCGGATCGCCGCACCCCCAAATCTCACAACCTCTCTCTTGCTTGCGGCTGCAAGCACAGTACACACGGCGCCAACTCCCACCAATAATGTCCTTGCCATATTGAGTGTGGCCCACCAGTCCATCAGCTCATGTACCGTTTCACCCTCTGCAGCATTGGCCTCGATACCTTGGTCTTCCAACGACGCAGACGCAAGCTCGTCTTTCTTAGCCATGAGCTTAGCATTCGTGGGAGCAATCACCAGCAGCGTAAAAGGTACAATGCTGGGAAGGAGGATGGTAGATGCAAGGTTGAGGCGAAAAGCCATGGAGCCCGTGTCTTCTGTTGAAACGAGTAAGCTGATGGGTGGTTTCCACGAGTCGGACATGTTACGCAAGCGACGTACGGTGATAAGCAACGTATCCTGTTGCTAGAGCAGAGAGAATTGCGAGGGGTCGAGCAATAGCTCCACCCCGGGTGAAGACGCTGTGCCATTGCTTTACCGCAAGGGGAGCAGGCGCCTCCATTGCTGCGGGTATACCGACTACGGAGAGACATGTATTACTTCCTACATCGAGAGTCAGCAGTTACTCTTAATCTTCTTTCTTCACAAAATACACGATTGCCAGAGTCATGCCTTGTTTGGGTTTTTCAGATGGCTCGGCGGCAACTCACCAAGTAAAAACACACTAGTAGTAATTCCCACTGCCTGCGCAATGACCATGCCCGTCGGCGTTTTGTGTGTGAGTAGATTATCCATGTTACAAGATTGAAGCTTGATTGATGAGATCTTTCTAGCCAGAGGGCGTTGGCAGTATTTGTACTTGCTGTGCTTTTGGATCTGGCGATAGGCGAGTCGTAGTGGTTGGCCTAAGGAACGCCTAAGTACGTCAATCCACTAGTATTTCCCCCCGTGGACTCCGGTCGCGTCTAGCTCGATGCCCGCGCGTTCCGATGCAGCCCACGGTGCAATGCGACAGAGTTACCACGGGCGACGACTTGTAATTCACAGTCTTTTATCTTGGGCTTTGACATGCAGAGAACCACATGTATCACGGGTCCCTGATTCATGTCCTTGGAAGCCTCGAAGCGTTGCAGAGTTGCCGTCCAAACAGGTCGAGACGAGCCGCTTATTCGTATGAAACCATTGGAGCATCAACATGTCCTAGAGTTGCCTCCGTCTGACAGATGTCGGACTTTGCCCCGTCTTATTTGCTTTGTCTGGCTTATTTCCAGATAGCTGAGCTAGACATTGCGGCTTCCATCCCTTATTTTGATCTGTCCTGAAGTACATAGAGCCACCAACCCTCGAGAATTAGGTATTCAGATCACCACGCCCACGCACCAGCTTCCAATAGAATCATATTGCGCAATCGAGACAGTTTCACAAGATTTGATCATGTTGTGTAAGGCCCCTATTCGCACAGCAACGCACTGCGCTGACCAGAACAGCCACCACGGCGACGCTTCACCATGTCACTCACCTCCCGGGCTCGATAAGCTTTGAGCAAGCCGTGGAGCAGCTTCACAACCACGTTATGCTTATCCAGGTATGCAGAAGTCGTAATAATAAGTATGCCACGTACTAATAGAAGCGACAGCTCGATCCAGAATATAACACGCATGAAGACCTACCGTCAGACCCCTCTGCGCCAAAGGAGAAGCGATACAAGATAACGGATCATATGAATGCCCTTCCAGCAGGGCTGTGGGGGACAACGGTGACGTTTGAAGCACACATGACGGATCTAGACGATGGAGTGCTCTGGGTTATCAAGGCGCCCATGGGCCTGACGCAGAGGACTACGTGGAGGTGCTTGAAGACTGAGGGCCTAAGCGAAGAGGACAAGGCCACGGGCATGAAAGACGGCGAGTGGAGCTTAGTTGAAGACGTGGAGATTCAAGCAAATCGTTTGCTGGTGGGTACTGTCAAGGGCAAGTGTGAAGAGAACTGGAAGGGCACGCATAGCAGGTTCCTGACGTACTTGAGGGAGAGCGCGGCGTAGGCGGGGAAAAGGGGTGGATTGAGGACTGCGGCCCACGTAAGTAGTCTCTCTTTCGCTCTCTTGCTGTCTCTCTCTCTCTCTCTCTCTCCGGCTCTTGTCAAAATACTTTGTTTCATCAAATCGCCACCCATGCAGTGTATGTCGAGCTAGACACATGTGCCCGCATCCCAAGAATAGAAGGTCCCTGCATAACGCGCCACCAGCTGCAGGGTGGAGGAGTGATCTGAGGTTAGCGCACTCAGCACCGCGGGCGTCAGATGGGGATTGGAGGGTGCAGAGACAACGACCATCTAGGTGCAGCAGAGAGTGGCATGACCACGAGAGACTTGCAGGCAGTCGTCTGCTCACGCGACGTGCAGCTGGTGGGCTTGCTGGTCAAACGACCAGAATGCGTCCCGTCGGAGGTGCGCTGGTGACATGTGGATGGGCCCGGGCCCCGCACGTGGCATCCGCCAATCGGGCGCGTGGATGGCGGGCAGCGATAAGCCGGATAAGACATGGACGCCGCAAGTGCAGGTGCAGGAGCAAGCAGCCTGCAAGCCCAAGTAAAGCAGCGGCAGAAGCGTCGGCCAGCGGGCATCGCATAATATGGGCCATCTTTCCCCGCCTTCCTGCTAATAGTAGTAGCAGCAGTGGTAGCAGGATTATTAGTGGCGGTGGCAGCAGCAGCAGCAGCCAGGCCTCAGCGGTGGCGGGTCCCTTTCCACTTGTGCTTCCAGATGCCAACCCCCCACACCCCCCCAAGCCTGCATCCCGCCGTCCGCTCGCCCATCAAAAACCGCGCAATCCCCCCCTTGCCCTTGCCCCTCTGGCCAGCGTCTGCTTGCATCTCAACGCTCCGCCATGGATCCAGTCTCGATTGACGCCGTCGTCGTCGACCACAACAATGGCATCCAGCCCATGCCCACGCCCAGCCCGCCGCCCGCCGACCCCATGGCCACGGAACAGCCCAAGCTGAAGGGAACACAGCGCCTCCTCAAGGGCCTCCAGCGCATGGGCTCTTCTCCCAGCCTGGCCACGCTGGGCAGGCATCGCTCACACAGTCTGAGGGGTGGAGGCAAGGCTTCAATGTCCTGTGTCTCGCTGGCATCGCCGGGCTCGCCCTATGGCACCTCGTTTGCCAGTTCATATTCATCCGAACTCTCCAACGGCTACTCGACAGCCCCGACCTCAGTCGCCAACAGCCCCCCCGGCACGCCCTTCTGGGACGAGAGAGCGCGCCTGCGCATGAAGACTCCCGACGCCCCATCGTCCGTCCCTCTCCCCTCCTCGCGAAGACCCTTTACCAGAGATGGCCGAGAGGCCGAGAGCGACTACTTTTCGCGCCCCGTCCGCAAGGCCCCCAGAAGGGCCAACTTCAACTTTTGGGAACAAGTGCCTCCCGAGGTCCGCATACAGATTCTCCGATATCTCGAGCCCAAGGAAGTCGTGCGCTGTTCCCGCGTCTCCAAATCGTGGCATGACATGTGCTTTGACGGCCAGCTGTGGAGCGACCTCGATACGACCAAGTACTATCGCGACATTTCGGCCAACGCTCTGGTCAATATCATCACGTCGGCTGGTCCTTTCGTTAAGGACCTGAACTTGCGAGGCTGTGTCCAGCTGAGGGAACACTGGGGCAAGGACGGCTTCATCGAGTCTTGCCAGAACCTGGAGAACTTTTCGCTCCAAGGTTGTCGCATCGACCGAGCGTCGATTCACTGCTTCTTGCTTCAGAACAGCCGCCTCGTACACGTCAATCTGTCTGGTCTTGCGGGCGCGACTAACGCAGCCATGAAGATTCTTGCTGGGCACTGTCCCAGGGTCGAAGTCCTCAACATCTCGTGGTGCAACAACATTGACAACCGAGGGCTCAAGAAGGTAGTTGAGGGATGCCCGAAGCTGCGAGACATTCGGGCTGGCGAAGTAAGAGGCTGGGACGACGTCGATCTCATGGTCGAGCTGTTCAAGCGGAACACGCTCGAGAGGCTTGACTTGAAGAACTGCGATAGCCTTAGCGACGAGGCACTGGCTGCTCTGATTGAAGGTGTGGATGAAGAAGTTGACCTTCTTACTGACCGGCCTATCGTACCACCCAGGAAGCTCAAGCACCTGAACCTCACCCGCTGTCGCAGCATTACTGATGCGGGTCTCAAGACGTTGGTCCACAACGTGCCGTTCCTCGAGGGTCTCCAGGTCTCCAAGTGCGGAGGTTTGACCGACGATGCCCTGAAAAGCTTACTGCCCACCGTTCCAGTCCTTACCCACCTGGACATTGAGGAGATTGACGCGCTGACCAACGAGCTTTTGAAAACGCTTTCCGAGTGCCCATGTGCTCCGCATTTGAGGCATCTTTGCATATCATACTGCGAGAACTTGGGTGATGCTGGCATGCTCCCTGTTCTAAAAGCCTGTCCTCGCCTTGCCTCCTTGGAGATGGATAACACGCGCATCTCTGACCTTGTCCTGGCCGAAGCTGCCTCTGGATTGCGCAACCGTAACAAGAGTGCCCTTGGACTGGCCCACTCGGAGCGGCCTGAAGTGGGTCTTCGCATCGAGGCCTATGACTGCGCAAACGTTACTTGGACTGGTGTCCGTGAGGTTCTATCACGAAATGCAGAGATTACCCGCCCCTCCTCTCGGTCTGCTTCCAAAGCACCGACATATCCGCGCGAGATCATCAAGCTCAAGTGCTTCCACAACTGGCAACCCACCGTCGAGGAACACACCAAGCGCGTCTTGCGGGGTGACTTTGCCGCAGCTGCGCGTCTGGAACGCAAATGGGCTGACTGGATGATGCTCAACGAAGAGGCCGGTGTTGGTGGGGCTGGAGCCAGGCGGCGCCGGAGGAGAGCACGAGAGGCGCAGCTCATGCACGCCGATGAAGAAGAAGGCGGCGCAGGCGTGACGGGTATTGGCCGTCGTCGGCGTGCGCGAAGTGGCCCTGGTGGCTGCATTGTCATGTGATGTTCATCGTGTTCAGATTGATTTTCCGGGGCACATTCTCTTGATATTGGATTTCATGTCACAGCCGATTGAGCGCGGGGTGGAGATAGTGCTTGTGCGCATGCGGCTGTTGATACTTTGCCTGAGGAGTTTGGATCTATTTCTTATCAGCGATCACAAGACGCATTGGTTGGAGTTGAAATATTATAGACTTGGGGCCAGGCAGCGAGGAAGACGCTTGTCTGAGCTGTTGTTGAAATGATTGCGCGTGTGGTTACTGGGAACATGCACTGTTGGACTTGAAATTCCTTGGCAAGCTTTCCAGTCTACGTTGATGAGCAATGGTCTGCTTTGATGACTCAAATGCTATGTGAATATCTACTAGTAGTACCTGCCCTGGTACAGTACTCACGTGATACTGTGTTCCACTAGTAAGCTGCGCACCCCAGTAAGCTGCGCACCCCACCAAATCCTCACAACTCTATCTGCGCCAACGACCATGACTTAACAACCACGGCCTAAGGTGATATCTCATGAAGGTAGACTAAGTCTCGCGATGGTCTCCTATTAGAATAAACTATGCTAATTAATCTAAGCCCTCGCGAGAGCGTATGACGTACTAGAATCTACTCTCTAGACGCGTCTCCGTGGTGTCCACCCGCGATCAGAGATAGTCTCTGTCAACTGAAAGCTATCAACTACTAAAGAGCAGTCTCTTGTGCAGTGGATCCTAGACCTTGATTGACGAGGCTTTCTACCCTATATAATTAATGTACGACGCATGGCAGACGCTCTACTCGCAGCCCGCGGCCAAGATCCACCTCCTCCACCTGTAGGCAAGAACTGGGTGTCGCGCTTTGTCAACAGCCAGTCTGAGCTTCAGACTAAGTGGAACAGGAAGGTCTATAGCCAGCGCGCTCTCTGTGAGGATCCTGTTGCAATCTCAGCGTGGTTCAACCTAGTAGAGGAGACGCGCCAGGCCTATGGGATACTAGACACAGACACGTACAACTTTGATGAGACTGGCTTTATGATAGGCGTCGCAGCGACGTCCAAGGTGGTCACTAGCTCTGACACTGTAGGTCGGGCAGCCACAGTACAACTAGGGAACAGAGACTGGGTTACGACAATCGAGTGTATCAACGCGTCTGGCTGGTGTCTTCTACCGTTCGTGATCCTGTCTGGTAAGCAGCACCAGGCTAGCTGGTACTACCACATCCCTATAGACTGGGTGCTCGCTGTATCAGACAACGGCTGGACGACAGATGAGCTCGGCGTAGAGTGGGTAAAGCACTTTAATAGATATACAGCGCCTCGTACGCATGGAGTCTACTGGCTTCTTATCCTAGATGGCTATAGCAGCCACGCCACGCCTGAGTTCGACCAGTACTGCACAGAGAACAAGATCATCACTCTCTGTATGCCAGCCCATACCTCCCACCTGCTCTAGCCACTTAATGTGGGCTGCTTTTCCCCGCTCAAGCGAGCGTACGGTCACGAGATCTAGGAGCTAGCTCGCTAAGGCGTCTACTATATTGACAAGATAGACTTCCTTACCGCCTATACACGGATCCGGCCAGCAGTACTTACGCAGCAGAACATCTAGGCAGGCTTCTAGGCGACAGGGCTTATCCCTCCCTGTCTAGAACGCGTCCTATCGTCGCTCACTGTCGTCCGTACGCCGTCTCCACTAGGGACAATAGCAGACAACAACGTTGCATGGACCGCAGAGACACCGCGTACGATAGTGCAGCTTAAAAAGCAGGCTTAACACGTAAAGGACCTCCTTCACCGCTAGTTGCAGAGCCTAACAAGCCAAGCTATACGCTAGCTTGTTAAAGGTTGTCAGCTTGCGATGAACTCAGCGACTATACTCGCAGAGGAGAATAGGAAGCTTTGTACAGCTAGTCAGCGCCAGCGACGTAGGAGAGACCAGCGACGTCAATATATAGCTCGTGGAGGAGCGCTACAGGCCTAGCAAGGCCAGCAGCTCGCTATAGAGGCAGAAAGGGTGGTCGCGGAGGTAGAACAAGCTTAGGCTACTTAGGGACGTTAGCGCGCACTACTAACGTGTACGAAGTGCCATATCTAAGGACACACTAGGACTTAATGTAGATAGTAATAGACTAGCTATGTACAAGATTGTATTCTATTATCTTATGTTGTTGTAGAGCTATCGCGTAGAGAGTCGCGTCAAGTTAGGTGGGGTGCGCAGCTTACTGGGGTGCGCAGCTTACTAGTGGAACACAGTAACGTGTTCCACCAGTCATCCGGCCACACCAGTCATCCGGCCACCCCACCAAACTTGACCTAACCCTCTACACAACAACAGCTATGACGCGACAACAACGCTCTCTATCGCCTCAAAGGCAAGGTAGACTTTGTCTTGCATCTCAATCAATTCAAAGACATCAAATTAAGAGTCAACGTAAAGCTGCTCAGCTATTTAATGTTCCTCGTTCAACGCTTTATGACCGCCTTCAAGGTAGACAACCTCAAGCTACTGCTAACGCTAGAAAAAGAAAGCTACTACCTATTGAAGAGCAGTCTCTCGTACAATGGATCCTAGACCTTGACCGGCGCGGTTTTCCGCCCCATATTATCGATGTGCGACGAATGGCAGACGCTCTACTCGCTGCGCGCGGCCAAGATCCACCTCCACCACCTGTTGGCAAGAACTGGGTGTCGCGCTTTGTCCAGAGCCAGCCAGAGCTCCAGACAAAGTGGACTAGGAGATTTAATAGTCAGCGCGCTGACTATGAGGATCC